GGGGGGGGGGAGGTGGGGCAGCCTGGTCCCTGAAATTCTGCCTTTCAGTCCTTGATATGTGTGCTCCAGATCCTTCTTTGCAAAGCACTGAGCCACCAGAGATAGACAAGTGGGCCGGTGTGGAGGGAGTGGCTCCCAAGAGGCCAGCTCCACAGGCCTCCATAAATGCGTCTCCCAAAAAGGAAGCAATTGGGTGGGCTAGGCTGGAGAAAAGACCCCAAGAACCCCCACCAGACAAGCAGGTAGAGGACCTGGCTTGGCCTCATGCCAGGACCAAACGGCAGGCTGGCACTGACTCGGCCACTAGAGAGCAGCAGCCTCTGTGAAGTGCTACTCACAGGCACATCAGCCAGCACCCTTGCCTCTGCACAAACCCCATTTCCCAGACCACCTAAGGCACAGACAGAAGCTGGTGGGGGGAGGGGGACATGGACAGATGGACTATATGGGATGGGACACCAGAGCAGCAGGAGGTGTGGGGCAGAGTGGGAGTCAATGTGGGATCTCTCCTTTGTGCTTTCTTGTCTTCCGAATCTTCTAGATGGAAAACAGGACCAAAATTCTGGGGTGGGTGCCAGCCTTCCTTCCAGGGCCCAGCTGAACTGAGGGGTGACAGACTGGCAAGGCCTCCTGCCATTTTTGTTCTGTGCTCTCTACGTGGGCAGGCCTCCCCTGTGCAGTCTCATAGGGCAGCCCTTCCTCACCCCAACCGTCCACAGGGTTATCAGGCCAGTCCACATCCTTGGAGCAGCACTAGTGAAGGGCTCCCTCTCCACCCTCCCCCGACCTCCAGGACACCCCTCTTGACATCCATCCATCCATCCTCCTGGCTGCCCTCAGCAGACGCTCCTCTGTAAGTCGCATCTGTGCAGGAGCCCTAAAAAACACTTTTCATTTCACCTCCTTCACAGTTGGCACGCATGCCATGGCTGGTTGCTTACACTGTGCACTAAGGATGGACAGGGGCCAAGATGGCAGAACACAAGCCAGAGGCCGGGGCACTGCCATCCAAGCCCAACACTGCTTTTCTAAGGATTTGTTTTACATGTAAGAGATAAAGCTCTGCCTTGTTTAAAATGCTGCACTTACTGTTTTTTGTTTTTTCTTTTCCATGTCAGACAAACCCAATCCCACAGATGCCAAATGGACATGACACAGTTAACATATCCAACACTGCCCAATGAGCTCCCCGACCCTACCACCCCCCTCCCACCAGCTTCCCATGTCTAGATGCCAGTTCCATCCTCCAAAAGGCCTGCTGGTACCCTCTGCTCCTGCCTCCACACATCATCTGTGGCCAAGTCTCTGGCTTTTCCACCAGAATGGAAACTCCCCGAAGAGAGGCAGTTCCCAGGCTGAATAGCACCCCAGCTGAGACTAGACATAGGAGCTGGGTGTGGGTGGTTCATGGGTGCAGAGGTGGCCTATGGACCTCGAGGGGGCTCTCACCAGCTTCTCCTGAATTTGCTGCTTCTGAGTGAAGCGTATCTCTTCCAGCTGCTCCTGGTTCATGCCTTTCCAGCGATCAGGGACCACACGGTGAGGCCCGAAGGAGCTGGCGGCTTGCTGCCGGTTCTCAGAAAGCAGGTCCCCACACAGCAGGCTGCAGATCTCGGCCAGGTTGTCTGCTTGCTCTTGTTGCCTCTCTTGCCTTTTCCTTTCTGCAGACTCTGCAGCCTATGCGGGGGTGGGGGGATGGGGGGAAGGGACGGGACGGGACACAGGACAATGCTAGAGTAACTGTAGGGTCAAAACCTCCCTCCTGGCCCTGGATGCAGGGGTGTGGAGGTACCTGGAGTTGGGGCGGACAGACTTGTCCTGCCTGGATGTGGGATGGGCTGGGAGAACCTGGCCATCACAGCACTGTTGGCAGTGGCTGGGCTGTGAGTTGCCCCCCACGGGGGGTACAGAGCTGTGGATCTCTGCAGCAGTTGGTCAATGCACTGCCCCACTGTCTGGCCCCCACCTCAGGGGTAGGGCTTTGTGCCCATGTTTGGGCACCCCAAATCTTTGGACATCTGCGGGCCACCACAGTGCTGACTTCTAAAGGAGGAAGCACACAATTATCACAGTAGTGCAGGTGGCTCTCGTCACAGCTCCTAATACAAATAAATTCCTGGTCAAATTACTGCTCAAACCCTGGAGGTGAGGGGGCTGTGTGACCTGCAGCCAGTCACCTGACCTCTCTGGGCTGCAGATATTTCTCTGTGAAGTTGAGAGATGGATTACAAGATGTGCACTAGGGTTACCTGTTCTTATCAGAGAGGAATGGGCAGAGTACTTTGCAAGACATGTGCTCCAGAAAGACTAGCTCTATCTGTCACCCAGCATGGGCCCTGTGGCAGACAGGACTGAATCTAAACACTTGCCATGTGGTGCTGGGGTGTCCTTGAGAAATCTGCTTACCCCTTCTGAGTCTCTTCTTATCAATTAAACAGCATTAACTGGCCTCTCTGGTAGGGCTGTTGAACTCATGCTAGCAGGGAATTAGTGCCAAAATAAAAAATAACAGTCACCACTGGGCATGGTGGCACACACCTTTAGTCCCTGTACTCAGAAGGTAGAGGCAGGCGGATCTCTGTGAAACTGAGACCAGCCTGGTCTATGTATTGAGTTTTGGGCCAGCTGGGACTATAGGATGACTCTGTCTCAAAAAAAAAAAAAAAAAAAAAAAAAAAAAAAAAAAAAACAACAAAAAACCAAAACAGCTATCATGGGCTAAACCATTCTAACACACTGCATGGTTATCAGATTTAATGCAAGTGTGACAGCCACTGCTGCTGATCATGACATCCTGCACACTCAGAGTCGGCCTGGCTATGGGCTTACTCTGCCCTACAGAATGTGAGCAAGGGCAGCTGGGCAGCTCCTGGAAGGACACACATGGGACCGGCCACATCTCTTCTGTGCCGCTGCAATCCTCCCCTGGCAGCTGCTCTGGCCCAGCCAGTCTGAGATGGACATGGAACATGACGGGGACACTTTGTGGCTTTGTGTGCAAAGTCACTGAGATCTGGGATGTATCTTACCCTAGCAGGTGGGTGCTACCTTTATTCTCATTCTGCAGGTCTAGAAGAGCTTGCCCAAGGCCACAGGGAAGGATCTGGCCTTGAACCTTGCAGCGGAGCTCTAGAGCCCACATGCTAAACCCCAGTGTCACACATCTTTGATGACATAGGCAATCACCACTGTGCCCTCCCTGCTGACAGACTGGCCTGCCTGTAATATTCTTCTCTTTTTGGGGACAAGAATTCAGCATCCTCTAACCACATCCTTAAGAGTTCTGGGACCACAGGAGTGCACTGTCATGCCAAGTGTGGGACCACATGTGTGCACCGTCATGCCCAGTGTGGGATTTTCTTCTAATTGTCCTTGGCTACCTGACAAGGCCTGTCTAGTCAGGATCAGTGCTGCAAGAGCCAAAGCACAGCTTCTCCAGGACAGAGAGAGGCTCTGGCGACAGTGCTGCCTCACACACACAGCCAGCCAGCTACGGGGGAGGGGGGGTGGTGACGACAATGGCAACGGACATATATCTGCAGGTACCAGACACGCTGTAACTCATTCAACAGTACGAAGTGAAAGAATGAGCAAGCCCACGAGTGAGGTTCGGTTCCATAAAAGTGAAAATTTATAAATGAACAGTGAGTGCATGGATGGATGGTCAGCTGCCTGGCCCCATTCTGCCATGGATTCACTGTGGGGCCTGGAGATAATACCTCTCCTCTGGATTCTCCAAAAAACAAAAGGCGAAGACTGGGCCTTCGCTAAGAGCCTTGTGCTGGCTGGTTGTGAACTGGGCCTCTGGGTGTTTCTTTTACCTCTGGGTTCCTCCAGCACTGGCAGTTTCTGCATTCCTGTTCCTCTCCCCGCTGCCCAAGACCAGCCCTCTGACAGGGCCCGGCCTCTCTGGGCATTTGACAGCATGGTCTATCATGAATTTGTTGTTGTTGTTGCATCTCTGATATATTTAGCACACACTGTCCCACTCCCATTCCATAAACACAGCCATGTAAAATACACGCTAGCAAAGAGCCAAGGTTAAGAGTGAACATGAAGCAAGGCTCAGTGCTTCCTTCCTGTTCTGCACAGCGTCCTGCAGACCCCACAGGTCTAGGGAACTGGGGAATCAGAGACAAATCGCCCAGGAAACAGAACTCTATGAGAAAGAACGCAGAGGATGACACCCAGGTCCAGAGCAGTAACAAGCCTGACAGCACTTCAGCGCATTATTCTGTTTCTGAGCACTGAACACTGAGCCCAGCCCAGGACAAGTGGTGCTCATCTGAAAGATGCTCCTGTCCTCATGTCCTAGAGGTCTAGACAGGCGCACTGCCCACCCAGCTTGCATGGTGAGTTTTGCAGATTCTGAGCTAAGGGATAGGCCAGATCAGGTCTCACCCACCTCTGTAATGGGGTGGCTCCTTATCAGGGGCTGTGACAGAGCTAGTGGTATGAGTAGGCTGAGCTTGGGACCCTACACACTTGGAGAGCCCCAGGAAGCTGCCGTGTGCCAATCTACACACAAGCCCAGGCATGCATACCTGCTTCTTATTAAACTCTCCCACAGCTGCACAGACTGCCTTCCTGGTGGATCTGTCTAGCTTCTGCAGGTGCCTGGCTGTTTCATCAAATTGGAGTCTTGCCTGTGTGTGGAGATCTTCTGCCAAGAGACAAGATACCACCAGCCTGAGTATGCCCACCGTGAGTGCCATCCTATGGCCTGGTCATTCACGTACTCACCTCTTACCATGCCCTCATCCAGGAGGCAGAGAAGGAGAGGAAGGTCGGGGAGAACACCATCTGCTTCACAGGTTCTATGAGAGCTAGACGATTTGAGTTCTTAGATCTTGCATTCAATTAGTCCTAGTGATCCCTATGGACTGGTAGTGTCGACTACGGATTAGTGATGTCTGCTGCAGTCCTAGTGTAGGTTAGTGGTGTACTCCTTACTATTCTTGGTCTATCAGGAGACAGTTCCAGACTTACAGAGACAAGAGGTGGTGGGAACCCAGGAAAAAGGACTGTAGACACCAGACAGGACAGAGCAGAGTACTAGGTCACAGATTTGTAGAGTGGCAGCAGGACTTTGTCAGGGAAACGAAGACAAGGTGTCAAACTGGAGGTGCCAGGAGTGAAATAGACACAGCGGGAGTGATGCAGAACAGGCTTCCAGTCCAGACATATTCCAGCTTTGTCAATGCAACTACTGCTTATAGCCTCTGGACCTCTGTGCCTTCACCTATGAGGCAGAGCACTGATGTGCAAGGGTTTTTGAAAAGCTACTGATCAGCAGACTCTGGTTTCTGTATCTGTGCTTTGAGGGTCTCCTCAGCATCTTCAGAAACAAAGGCCACAGTCTCTTCTTTGTGTTGTTGGGGGTGGAACCCAGGGCCTCACACATGCTAGCTAGGCAAGTACCCTACCCCTGATCTGCACCCTAGTCGCAAAGGACCAGACCCTTGAGCCGTGACTTTCTGGCTTCTGCTCACCTCCCCCATTCTCACTCCTCAGTTGTCCTTTCACCATGTGACACAGTGGTGGTCAAGGGCCTAGCTTGGGCCCCACTCCGCTGAAGACACAGAGGTAACAGGGGCTTTTCCTATCTTCCTGCAACTTGATATCAAGGAGATAAAAATAAACACTTGAAACCCCCCTCCCAATAATGTACTACTACAGACTCTGATCATCTGTAGGGGAAGAGGAGGCTGGAAGAGGAAACACTGAGAATGCTTGGCTCGGGAAGCTGGAGGGTAAGGAGATGCTTCTCTAGGAGGACATGTTGAAGTTCAGATCTGAAGGACTACAGGTCAGGGCAGGTGCAAAGGGCCTGAGGTGGGAAAGGACCTGATGAGATCCAAAGCATTTGGATCATGATGAGCAGAGCAGGTACTTAGTTGATGTTTATGGGGTAGACAGAGCCCAGAATGCAGAGCCCGAGGACTACGGGAGGATCCTACATCTTATTCCACATCCCATGAAGACATTAAAGAGCTGGGGTGGAGGGGATGGGTGTACCATTGTTCAACCCAATATTATTTGAGAAATATCATTCTGTCTACCACATTAGGAATGGACCAGAGAGGGGAAAGGACAGTTAGAAAGCCATGAGCAGAGGCCTGTCTAGGTGAGAAAAATGATGGCTTGTCTATGGTAGTGACAAAAGAGATAATGAGAAGCGGGCAGTTCAAAACACCCGCAGGAGATAGAAGGCTGAGGGTGGCTGAAGTCAAGGACAAGGCTGCCTCAGACCATTGGTTTGATGAGGGAAGGATGAGTCTCCTGATGGGAAACAGTGGGCAGAGAAGCAGATCCAGCCGAGGGACCCAGAGAGAACCACCTTGAAAGCAAAATCAAATGTACATTTCGAGGAGGATGAGACTTGGGAACTGACTCTAGCATATGAAGACTGTGTGCCAGGCTGTCCAGAGTGGTTCAGGGTACTGGGGGACAGAGGTCTAATGGATGGAGGCAGGGAAGGAAGGAAGACCGTGGGGGGAAGCTGGCTCAAGGAACTAGAAGCTGGCCAAGCTGAGCGAGGAGACAGAGTTAACAAGTAGACAGGAGCAGCTGTGGGGGCCGCACACTTGATCCCACCCAGCTCATTTGCCCTTTTTGGCAGCCCTTCCTTCTTCCGTCACTAGGACGTGCCCAGAACCAGATGTTGCCTCAAGTGCCTGCTAAGGAGGGGCTGGGGTGTGTGTGCTGTGTACCGATAGCCTCTGTTGGGGCAGAACTCACTGGGCTTTCCTCAATCTTCGCATCAAGAGGTTCTTTCCTGTCTTGGAGCCAGAGGTTCCCTGGGTCTGGGGAGTCCTGACTGGGCCCCCATCCACTCCAGCGTCCAGCAAGCTTAGAAGACTCTACATCTTTCCATTCATCTTCCTGGGTGACTGTGAGCAGAATGAGGGCAGAAACTAATGTGAGCTTCTTGAGCCCCAGCACCCAGCTGGGACCCTCACAGAGTGCTCAGAAAGTGTTTCCTCTGCTATGGACACACGCTTGGACATGCGAACTCCCAGGGCTGAGGCTCTGACTTTTGTGCCCTCACAAGCAAGCTATGCACATTAGAACTTTAAAAAGCACCCACAAAAACTGCTGTGGAGTGGATTTACCAGAAAGCCTGGAGATAAACCTGTTTCATTACCTGCAAGCCTGTGTTCTGCACGGGCTCGCTCCCATTCCCTTTGCTGTTGCAAGGACCATTCTCTATTCTGTTCCTTCTGGACTCTCCTCCTCTCTTCAAAGTTCAAATCCTCTCCCATGAACTTTTGCATTCCTGATATGGTATTCCGGACATCATTATCTGACAGCCGGGCTGGAAGGTCTTTCTTAAGGGCCATGGGGTCAGACAGATCAAATTCACGGCGCGATTCCAGCTTCTGAAAGTTCTGCTGAAAGTCAGTGATAGCTCTGCAGAGCTGTTTCTTGTCTCTCCTTTCCCGGTCCTGCAGTATGCATGCAATTTTGTCATTGTGCCTCATTTCAGCAGCTAGAAAACATTCAGCACACATATGAGTTTAAGATGCATAAAACCACTCAGAAATAAACAATGATATTGAAGATAACCCTCCAAACCCCACATAACCGCTAAAAGGTCAGTACCTAGCATAGACAAAAGTACCTACACTTGCTGGGTGTGGTGGTGCACGCCTTTAATCCCAGCACTCAGGAGGCAGAGGCAGGCAGATCCCTGTGAGTTCAAGGCCAGCCTGGTCTACATAGTGAGTTCCAGAACAGCTGAGGCTACAGGGAGACCCTGTCTCAAAAAGACCAAAAACAAACAAACAAAAAAAGTACCTACACTAAAAGATCAGTACCTAGCATATACAAAAGTTCCTACAAACTGATGGTAAAATCGCAAGCATGGGGCTGAGAGATGGCTCCGCATTAAGAGTATGTACTGTGGGGCTAAGAGATGGCTCAGTGGTTAAGAGCACTGGCTGCTCTTGCAGAGGACCAGAGCTTGGTTCCCCACACCCACATCATGGCTAACAACCGTCCATCACTCCAGTTCCACAGGATCTGGCACCCTTTTCTGGCCTCTGTGGGCACTGCATGGCACAGGTTCACTTACATTCATGCAGGCAAAACTATCATACACATAAAATAAAAAATATACATTTTTAAAAAAAATCACAAGTGGGGCTAGAGAGATGGCTCAGTGGTTAAGAGCACAGGCTGCTCTTACAGAGGACCTGGGTTTGATTCCCAGCACCCACATGACAGCTAACAATTGTCCGTAACTCCAGTTCCAAGGGATCTGACACCTTCTTCTGACCTCCATGGCATTGCATGACATGGGTGCACTTACACACATGCAGGCAATACACATACACATAAAAATAAAAATAATAAAATATTAAAAAAGTAAAAAAATCACAAGCAATCTAACTGAAAAATGAGCAAAGGCCAGGAACAGGCAAAGCACTAAAAAGAAACCTGAGTGGGCAACACACTTACGAAAAGATCATCAGCCTTGCATTAGAAACGGTCAATGAACTGGAAGCAGCACACTTGAAATGTTGTTAACAGCATATGCTATCCTAAGTGACAAGATCTCTCATTCAGTGTTGGAGCATTACTTGGTACATATATGTCACATACAGCAATCTGACTCATCAGTTCCACTCTAGTGTCTCTACATGTGCACTAGGAATATAATACATACAGTCACTGCAGCAGTGTTTGCCAAAAAAAATCTCCTTTAAAAAAATCTAGGGAGTTCTATCAGTTTAGTTATTAAAGAAATATTTTTCTTTTTTAACTTCCCAGACTGATTTTTTTCCCCCAGAAGTTCAGTTAAAACCATGCTTCAACAACACTGAAATTTCTCACTGTTGCTGTAATGTGAGCTTGACATTCACTCCCCTTCCAAATTCTCCAAACTACACCGTTTTTCAATGTAATCACATTATTTTTTTAAAGCAACACTAACAATTTTTTTTGGTCTTTTTGAGACAGGGTCTCCCTGTAGCCCCAGCTGTCCTGGGACTCACTATGTAGATCAGGCTGGCCTTGAACTCACAGAGATCCGCCTGCCTCTGCCTCCCGAGTGCTGGGATAAAGGTGTGTGCCACCACGCCCGGCATTGCTAACAATTTTTAAAAATTTTATGTGTATGAGTGTATTGCCTACATGTAGGTAGGTGCATCTGTGTCATGCAATGCCCATGGAGGTCAGAAGAGGATGTTGGAGTCTCTAGAACTGGAGTTACAGACGGTTATTAGCCACCATGGGGGTGCCAGGAATCAAACCCGGGTCCTCTACAAGAGCAGTCAGTGCTCTTAACTGGTGAGCCTTCTCTGTAGCCCACTAACAAAAATTTTTTAAAAGGTTCAAAACTAGTAATGACCAGTAATGGGGGGATGGAAGAGAGGAGGATCATTGGAGCTTTCTGGCTGCTAGCCTAGCTCCAGGTTTGGTGAGAGATTCTGTCTCAAGGGAGTGGGATGCAGTGATGGAGGAGGACACCCAAGGTCTTCCTCTGACCTCTGCACCTGCACAGGCATGTGCACATGCGCGCACACACACACACAAAGGAATTTTATATTATTATACACATACCATACACAGACACAAAGACACAAAAAGCAGTTTTATATTATTGTGGATATACAGTATAAAAATGTGAGAAATATGCACTTCTGAGGAAGAACAAAGGAAAATTGCCAGGAGGTGTACTTAACTTATACAGAGCATAATTCTCAAAAAGCACTCAAGCTAGGTGTGGTGGTGCAGACCTTTAATCCTAACACTTGGGAGGCAGAGGCAGGTGGATCTCTGTGAGATTGAGGCCAGCTTGGTTAAGTTCCAGGCTAGCTGAGGCTATAGGGAGACCTGTCTCAAAAAGCAAACAATGAACAAAAAACCCCAACCAACCAACCAACCAAAGCACTCTTAAAAGAAGATCCCTAAGACCAACTTGGCAAAATGCTAACATCTAGTCTGATGGCGGACACGTGTGTCTGTCACACTGGTTTTGTAAGCCTTAATTACTTTATAACTAAAAATAAACAAGGTAAAAAGTTTGGAAAAATACAGAATAGGGTAAAGAAAATAAATCATTCATAATTCAATCACTCCAACATTGCCACTGATAACATAGTTGGTGTTTTCTAACTGTATTTTAAAACCTTAATGCTCAATTGTATGTACAATTACACATCCTGTTGTTTTCTACTTTTAAACTCTTTATGGTATTTTGAAAGGGAAAAGTGCCACCAAGTGTTGAAATTGTTGGCCATAATAGGAAAAATTGGGCTCTATTTGAAATTTTAGTCTAGGACCCAGAATGTTATTCTCTGAACCATGTCTAACACTGAGTTAGCTCAGGGGTACCAGTACCAACATGTGTATGTCACTTGTTATAAACAACTATCCTCTGTAGGCCATGAGTTTGGGGGCAGAGAAAGTGAATGTGTATTTAAAGCTTTCACAGTTTTTAAATAAAACAATGAAAAACATTTATTTTGTTTAAAATATATTTCCTAAGATGTATATAAGGATTCAATAGCTGCTTTTCAGGCTGGAGAGCTGGCTCAGAGTTAAGAGCACTGGCTGCTCTTGCTGGGACCCGGGTTCCATTCCCAGTACCCACATGGCAGCTAACAACTGTCCATAACTCTGGTTCAGGGGATCCAAGGCCCTCTTCTGACCTCTGTGGGCACTGCATGACCCAGGTGCACTTACGTACACTCATACACATAAAATATTAAAAAGCAGCTGCTTTTCTTTTGAGAAAGAACATGAAAATGACAGCTTTGTGTGTGTGTGTGTGCATGCATGTGTGTGCATGTGTGTGTGTATTGTGTGCATATGTGTGCACAAGGGAACTTTAGCACATTAAGTACACACTGTAGTCGGGTTTTTTGGGTTTTGTTTTTTGGGAGACAGGGTTTCCTTGTAGCCCCAGCTGGCCTGGAACTCACTATGTAGAACAGGTTGGCCTCCAACTCACAGAGATCCCTCTGCCTCTACCTCCCAATCCTAGTGCTGGAATTAAAGGCTGGCACCACCACGCTGTAGCTGCTCTAGTTCCATTTACTGTGAGGAAATGAGGACATGTGGCCCTAACAGAGACACAGACACTTAGATACACTCACCGAATGTTTCATGTCTAGCTTTTTCAGTTGCTTCCTTTATCTTCCGGTTTTGAACCTGAACATCCCAGGCTTGTGTGTCTCCCTGGAAATGGAAAACGGTGAGTAAAGCCAGAGAGATCAGCAGGCCACAATCCTAGTCACCTGGTCACAGAGGGAGCAACTTGCCTTTGATACCTATCAGACCTTCCCAGTTTGGACAGCTTTCCTATTATGGCTGGGTCTGCAGCTTGTGCTGTCAGCTTTCCCCAGACCTTCCTTCCCCATTTGTCTGTTAACACACACATCCTCAGAGCACTGTTCAGACAGCACTCCTCTGGGAAGCAGGCTCTGAAGTCCTCTGCAGGCTCCAGCCTATGCTGGTGCTATTCTACTACATTTTCTGTGACCATTTTAAACCCTGCCTCTTTCACTACGACCTGGTGAGCTCTTCAAGGTCAGGGACTGCCTTCTCCCCCCACCTCCTGGACTCGACTCAGACACTGGCATTTGCCACCTGAATTGTTCTGCGAGGAAGCCCCCCACAAAGAAGAAAGCTCAGGAGGAGTGCAATGCTGTTGGCCTCCCTTTCCCTACTAAATCCTGCTGGCACGCTGCTGGCCAGTTAAGGCTTTCCAAGTCAGGCACGGAGCTAGTCCTTCCTCCAAGGCCTAACACCCCAAACAAACCTGGTGCTCCCATCTGAAGGCACCAGAGAGTACCCAGCACCCCAGCCAAACCTGGTCCTCCAATATAAAGGCTCCTTCAAGGACCCAGCACCCCAGTCAAATCTCGGGCTCCAAGCCGAAGGCTCCGGTCCAGCCCGGGTCTGTGCTCCCCGCCCCGCCGACTCCTCTCTGCTGCACCGTCTCACCCCAATGAGCCTGGTCCTGGCGTTGAAGACCCGCCTCTGCCTGCAGAGCTCCGCGTGCCTCCGCTTGGCCAGGCCGACGTCCCGCTGCAGGTCCTCGGGCAGCACGGCCTCCATGGTGTGGGGGCCGCGGCCACCCCGAGCGGCCCGAGGAGCTTTAAGCACTGGGGGACAGGAAAAGGCCCCAAAATGGTTCCGGCCGCAGTCCTGAGGAGAGCTGCTGGGCTCTTCTCCAGCAGCCGAAAGGCAGAGGCGCAGACCGCGGGGCGACGCCAACTCCTGTTGCTAAGAAACGGCGCTGCGCTCGCCCACGAGCCAATCTCGCGAGACTTGGCGAAGTTCTTCCCGCGCTTTTCCCGCCGGCGCACGAGGAGCGGCTGAGGCGCCGAGCGCAGCCATGGGGTGGCTGGAGGTGCTGCTCGTGGAGAACTTCAAGTCGTGGCGCGGCCGCCAGGTCATCGGGCCCTTCAAGAGGTTCACCTGCATCGTGGGCCCCAATGGCTCCGGTAACGGCTCGGCGGAAGGCGACCCAGCCTGAGGGGCGAGCGGGGCGGGCGGCTGTGGGCGTCGGGTAGGCCCTGCGGCCACTGGGGGTGCGGCTGGAGCCCGAGCCACCCCTCCCGCCCGGCTTCTCACCGCCACCCCAGACCCCCAGCCTCGGGACTCCGACCCCCAGAAGCCCCACCCCGCTGCTTCAGGACCTCGGCCCCCGAACCCCCACCCTGGACGCCCGGGACTCCAACCCCGGGACCCCGAGCCTCAGGGACCTCCCCACCCTCCAGGACTTTGTCTCCCCAGCCCTCACTCTCTCAGATGGACCCTCACCTCTCCTGAGATTCCCTGGCCCTTTCCCATGGGCCTATTGCTTTGCACTGGTCAACCCTCACCCCTCCCCGAACTGTTTCAGCCTTCCCCGGACAACCCTCACCCCTCCTCGAACCGTTTCAGCCTTCCCCGGACAACTCTCACCCCTCCCTTTAGACCACAGCCGTCCCCTCATCCCTTGCCTCTCATGGTGGCTTCTCACCATTCCCGACCCCCCCCCACCTCCCTGGCCCAGTGTCCCCTCCACTCTTGCTACAAAACCTCACTCCATCTCGGGACCCCGACACCAGTGCCTCCACGCTTTGCCCTCTGACCTTTGGGTTTCTGTGCTGGTCCTGGCTCTTAACTAGGAGGGAACTTAGTTATTACAAGTTCCAAGGAGTCTGAAGAGTCATTTCAATTCAAGAAAACTTTGACCCCGAAGTATAATACTGGCCCTGCTTATTCAGCTTTTACTAAGTTCCTGGCACCTTCTCTCATTTTTGTTTTAATATGTGGGGTTAAAAAATAGCAAATTTTCCCTAGTAGAAAAGTAGACACACACAAAATCTCTCACAAATTACACCATCTAGTGAAAACTTTGACAGAAAGGGATATTGAATTTTGTCAGATGCCATTTCCTCATCTACCAAGACAATAAAATGGATCTTCTTGTGGGTGCTAATAAAGATCACTGTGGTAGCAATGGTGGCCTATAGGTTTAAAGAGCAAGACAGGAAGTCGAGGACTCAGATAAAAGGTTACTGCCTTGGTTCAAGGAACATATGAGTGAAACAAATTGGTAGCATAGGGACAGAGAGGACAAGGTTACTAAGTAGCCTGAATTAGCATGATTATTGATATGTTGACTGTAACCAGGGAGAATTTAGCAAGGTCAAAGAACTCAAGGTAGCAGTCATGAAACCTGTGAGAAAAGCATTCTGAGCCCAGAGACTAGAAAATACTAAGAATAAAAATGAATTTGGCTAGTTCAGGAAAAAAAATTACTTCTGATCCAAGCATAGTAAATGTAGACGACATAAATTTTAGAGTCTAAAAGAGAACTTTTCTAAGATCCTCACTTTCCTGATGCTGCATTTAAGAAATTCACAGCAGTGGTCTCCAATGCACACAATGCAGAACTTGGTTTATCTGTCTTTTTCAACAGATGGTTGTTAAGCTTAATACTGGCTGGCAAGCCAGCAGTTAGTGCTTCCTGATGGTTTGTACTGTACCACATCATCCAGCTTGTCCTTCCATTCTAGATGATCGTAGTGGTGCTGTGATCTTTTTTTAAAACGTTTAATATAAAAGTAGTATATATGCAGTGGAAAAAACTAGGAAATAAGAATTAACCCATCTTTTCACAGGTCAGAGATTATTGCCCTTCTCCCTTAGCGGCATATTCATACAGATTTGTTCAATACAGACTATGAAAATGAAATAATACATACTATTCTTCAGAAGATTAACTTTTTAATAAATGTTCATTTCATCTGATGCATCCTCAACTAATTCCAGAATGTTATTTAGGCAAAACCCTTCTCTGCTTCAGAACCACATACTGCATCAGAATGTTATATCTTTTAAATTCTCTTAATTTAGCAAAATACTTTTATTTATAATACTGATTTATAATAAGGAATAGAAACGTTTTCATATAGACTTTAGATTTTTTTTTTTGGAACTCCCTATATAGACCAGGCTGGCCTTGAACTCACAGAGATCCTCCTGCCTCTGCCTCCCAAGTGCTGGAATTAAAGGCCTGAACACTTCTGGTTTAGACTGTATAGATTGAGCCTATTGCTTCTTTATGGTGTAATTTAGTTTGTCTCTCTATCCCCTCCATTTCTGTGAACCGGAAGGTGTATCTAAAGAGTTGATGGATCCAATTTTTTTCTTCCTCATCACTTTTTATTCGTTCTTTGAGAATTTTGTGGAATATATTTTGATGATGTTTACCCCTCACAACTCTTCCCAGATACACCCTCATTCCTTATCCACCCAACTTGGTGTCCTCTTTTTTTTAACCCATTGAGTCCAACTGGTGCTGTTCATATATTCTTGGGTGTGTGGCCATCCACTGGAGTATGGTTGACCTACCAGGGGCCACACCCTTAAAGACTACTGACTCTCCCTCTCCCAGCTGCTATCAGTTGTCAATAGCTCCTCAGCTAAGGGTGGGATATTGTGCCCACCTCCCCTCTCCATGCTGGGATTTCCTCTGACTTGTGCAGGTCTTGTGCAGGCTGTCAGAACTAATACAAGTTCATATGTATAACTGCCCTGTTATGTCTGGAAAACACTGTTTCCTAGTAGTTACCTGGACCTCTGGCTCTTACCATCCTTCAGCACCCTCTTCAACAATGATCCTTGAGACTTGGGAGGAGAAGGTATGATAGAGGTGTTTCTTTTAGGGCTGAGCATTCCACAGTCTTATTCTCTGAACCTTGAATTCAGAATTTTTTGGCTAGACTTTATTACAGGTGATTTTTATGCACATGTTGCATTGTAGTACATAATTTCTGATCTTTTTCCCTTTTTTTTTTTTTTTGAGACAGGGTCTCCCTGTAGCCCCAGCTGTCCTGGAACTCACTGTGTAGACCAGGCTGGCCTTGAAGTCACAGAGATCCTCCTGCCTCTGTCTCCCATAGTGCTGGGATTAAAGTTGTGCACCACCACTCCTAGCCCAAAACTTCTTTTAGTAGGAAATTCATTAGAGACTTACTTCCAGAAGCTCTTGGTACTTGATGCATCTGGATAATGTTGATTCCTGACCATTTCAGTGGGCAAGCTAGAAAATATGTCAATCACCTTTTTATGCTTGGTATTTTTTATAATAGCTTTCTTGAGATGTAATTTACATATCATGAAATAGATTCTTTTAAGATACAATATACAGGGGGGCCTGTTTTTCCTCCTCTTCACCAAAATAATTTGTTTTGAAAGTTTGGATTTTTGCTAGTCTGGTAGGTAAGAACTGGAAGTGCAGTTTTTATTTATTTCTATAATGTGTGATTTTTGAGCATTTTTCATATGTTTAAGGGTCTCTTTGAATTTCCTTTTGCCTTGCCTAGTCTTATGTTAATGAAGATTTCTGACAATAACCCAAAAGAAATTTTCATAAAACATTTGAAAAAGTTATTCAGTGTTTTGCTATAATCTTAAGCATGAAGTTAATTTCCTTTAATGCAGCACGATGTAATTCATATACAACATCCAGCTTTTTCCCTAACCACTTGTAAGGTAGTCAGCTATATTCTCCCTTTTTTACTTGAATGGTGCCATGCTCTCTTACTCCTTTTTACCTATGACCAAGTTATTCTTTTCTGAGATGATATATTTGCCTTCAACACTCCTCTCTCTGGTTTACTCCTTAAAACTTCACCCAGAATTATCTCCTAAAAAGCCAACTTGGGCTGGAGAGATGGCTTAGCCGTTAAGAGTATTTGCTACTCTTACAGAGAACCCAGGTTCAGTTCCCAACACCATGTGGTGGCTAACAACTATCTGTAACTCCAGTCCAGGGGATCTGATGCCTTCTGGCTTCCACAGACACCAGACATGTGCATGGTGCATATACCTGCAGGCACAATGCTCCTACACATAAAATAAAAAATAAATCTTTTTCTTTAAAGCCAACTCAGCCTCTAGCTGTTAAACTGCTTTTACTAAGAACTTCTATGGTACTTTGAATTAATTTCTTAGAAATTATTATAGCATATCTTAATAGCCCACATTTGTTGGAAAGAACATATATTTTGGGAATCAGATACATCCCTCCAAAACGTATTTGACTTGTACCTCTTTATTGTCCTGGTTTGTTTCTTCACTGCTGTGACGAAACACTCTGACCACTACCAACTTGGGGAGGAAAGGGTTTATTCAGCTTACAACTCCCAGGTTGCAGTTCATCAGGGAGCCCAAGGTAGGAACTCGGGGCAGGAACCTGGAGGCAGGAGCTGGAGCACAGGCCATGGAGGAATGCTGCTTACTGGCTTGCTCCCCTGGCCCCTGCTCAGCCTGCTTTCTTATGCAACACAGGTCCCCCTGCTCAGGGGTGGCACTACCCACAGTGGGCTGGGCCCTCCCACATCACTCATCAAGAAGATGCCCCTCAGACATGGCCACAAGCTAGTCCAATAGAGGAAATTCCCCAATTGAGGCTCCCTCAACCCAGGTGTGTCAAGTTGACACTAACGCTATCCAGCACATTTATAAAAAGAAAATTAAATACCTATTTCACAGAATTGTTGCAAAAATAAAATAACAGATGTACAGAGGCACAAAGATTGGTTCAGTAAAAACTGATCATATTCAACATTGTAAGCACCTTGGAGAAAACAACACATTTAAAGATCTAATTGGCTTTTCTTTATGATTCTAGAATCAAGCAACATGTCATTCTATAAAACAATTCTATAAAAATAGAGTAAGTGCTCTACTGGGAATAACAGAGTGATTGGCTTTTATAAGGAACAAGGAAAGAACAATAAAGGTGGATTGGCTAACATCTAGTTATGGCAGGTTACTTTATTATACCCAGCTAAAGTAGCCTGGGCTCTTTCTGATTGGTTGCTGTGAGCTTCCTTTTTTCAGGACAGGCCAGTCTATGTGAGGATTTACCTGCTTAAAAGTTTTGGTTTGAGAGCCAGACATGATGGGGCACACCTTTAATCCCAGCACTGAGGAAGGCAGGGGCAGGAGGGTCTCACAAGCAGAACTTTGTGAGACTGAGGCCTGCCTGGTCTACGTAGTGAGTTCCAGCCAGCTGAGGCCACAGGGGAGACCCTGTCTCAAAATACAAAACCAAATTCGGTGTAATCATATGTCACTTAGCATGAGTGACTCCATTTGGTTTTGTGTCATCTGCTGGTGCCTAGTGTATGAAACTAGTTTTAAAAGCTGTGGCCACTGATGAATTTTAACAGAGCAAAGTCTACATTTTACTGCTGTTTAGTCAAATACTTAGCTAAGTGCCTGATAAACCATGCTCAAAAAATGTTTGTAGGCTGAATGAGTGCATTTTAGAGGATAAGGAACCAAGGTTGAGGAGTCCAACCAAAGGGGCTCTTAAGAATTTAAACTAGGAAAAAGGAGAGGTAAGGGATTGGAGTTTGAGGAGCTGGAATGAAAACGGACCTGGCAATAGTGTAACTTCTATATTCTTGAATACTTGGATCATCTTTATCAAGTGGTGATAGCCTAAAATCTAGCTCTTCCAGAATCACTACTGTCCTTATTTATGTTCCTTTTAGATTATTCATAGCGAGGTCTTTCAGTCTGAACATTGCAAAACTCAGCCTGCATGTTTATTAGTTGACTTTTCATAACAGATGGTTGTTCACCTAACACTAGTTGGCAGGTGGGCACTTCATGGTTCTCTCCCTGTTATTGTAGTCAATCTTATCACCTGTTTATCTGACTCTGATAATTATTACCATAGGTAATTGTCTTTTTCTGCTTATTGTCTGACTGTTTAAGAAAATATGACCTTTATTGGACAACATACATTGAGTGAACAAACTTAGTTGGAGGACTATTTAGTTTGAGCAGATTTTCAATAAGCATTGACCAAAAAAATTTATTGTTATTGTCAGACTTAATAATTGAGTTTAATGAATATTCATTTTGTCCTGTATGTGCTTCTTGTAGCAGCTGTCAATGGGAAGATTATTAACCTCAAAACTCATCGGTTTTTTACAGCATTTCCTAACCTCCTAAAACCACCTATATTTTGGTCATTGGAAATATTCTTTCTCTTTGTTTACATTACTTTCTGGCACTGAAATTCAAATTGCTTCTGTCATAGCTACATTGAATTGTGCCTTGGAAATTAGAGCAAATTATGGGCTCCTTTTGGATAACAAATTCAGTGTTGGGGTTGACGGTCTCCAAGACTGTCCTCAGGCTAGGTGATGTGCTAGAGGGTCTGGCATGTGGTTTTAATCAGGATTACTATTTATGACACTGGAAAGGTGATAAGGCAAACATAGGAGTGGGTAAAGTCCTGTGGAGCAAGTCTGAGGAAACCCAAGTGCAAGGTTCACCCAGTGCAGTGACACAGTGCTTAAACCTCAGCAATAAGTTCTCATGTCGAAATGTTGCCTACTAAGGAACCTCACTAGAGACCCAGTCCACAGGGCTTTTATTAGGAGACAGTCATACCCTCTGCCCTACCACATGCCAAAATTCCAGACTCCTGGAAAGAAAGCAGATGTTTAGCCCCAGTCATGTTTTACAGGTTTAGGCACTGTGAGCCATTCCTACCAAGTATCCTAGTTTGGTTTCTGTTACTGTGATAAAACATTGACCAAAAGCAACTCAGGGAGGAAAGAGTTTATTTGGTTTGTACTTGAAAGAAGCCAAAGCAGGAACCTGGAGGCAGGAGCTAAAGCAAAGACCATGGAGGAGCGTTGCTTGCTGGCTGGCTTCTCTGCCTGCCGGTGCCCCTGCTTTCTTGTCCCACCCAGGACCGCCGGCCAGGGATAGCACCACCCACAGTGGGCTGGGCCCTCCTGCATCACTCAACAATCAAGAAAATGCCTCACAGACATGCCCACAGGCCAGTCCAATAGAGGAAATTCCCCAGTTGAAGGTCCCTCTTCCTAAATATGTCAAGTTGACAGCTGAAGCTATTCAGCACACCAGGAGATTGTAGAAACCCTCCCGAGATCCAAGTAACCCCGAGATGCCAGCCTGCCAGCCATGCAGATAGGCCTTTCAAAGGATCGTAGACCCAGGTCCACCATATTTTTTTCACCTCTATTGTACTGATCATGAAGATTCTAGCAATCTATCTAGCCCTTGGGAGGATCCTGCATTCAGTTAATATTTACCTTATTTTTTTTTTAAGTATAAGAGAGTTTGATGCTGTTCTAATTCGTGAGATATTTTCCATATTTATGAAACAAATCACAGAAATACAGAGAATTGATTTGCCCTGGTGTATGCCTAATAAAGGGAGCAAGCTGGGATTTAGATCCATATATTTGCTTTGTTTTAATTTTACGTAATTTTTTGTACACGTGTTTATATCCCTATTCAAACCTTTTAATGCTCTGCCTAAGCTACACAGAAGGAACTAGTCCTCTACCTAGAATTTTTCAGTCATGTGGATTTTAAACATTGACCAGACAAGACTGTTTAGATTTGCACATTGTCTACATTTCACTTCTGTTATGTGATTTCTTTGGCACTGAAGATGTTTTTAATCATTAGAATGAATAATTTCTCTTTTTTTTCTTTTTTTTTTTAATTTTTTGCTCCAAATTGTTCTAGAATCTTCCCTAATTTCTCTTGCCTTCTTTTCTTCTCCAGGAAAATCTAATGTAATGGATGCACTTAGTTTTGTAGTAGGAGAAAAGACAGCTAATTTAAGAGTAAAAAATATCCAAGAACTTATTCATGGAGCACATATTGGAAAACCTGTGTCATCTTCTGCAAGCGTAAAAATTATATATATAGAAGAAAGTGGAGAAGAGAAAACATTTGCAAGGATTATCCGAGGTAATTTTTGTAGATCTTTTAAAAATGTTTATTACTTTCATTTTATGTGTATGAGTGTACTGCCTACATGTATGTAAGTGCAACCATGTCATGCAGTGTCTGCAGAGGTCTGAAGAGGATGTCAGATCCCCTAGAACCTGAGTTACAGGTGGTTGTTAACCACCACATGGATGCTGGGAACCAAAACAGGTCCTCTGCAAGAGCAGCCAGTGCTCTTAACTGCTGAGCCATCTCTCCAGCCCCTTTTTGTAGATTTTTGAGTTTGATTGCCTGCTTTTTTTTCTTTTAAGGATATCATAGTTAGCTATACTCTTTTTCTTAGAAGCAATTGACAGAACCTTAGTTTTATTCTCCACCAATACTCTTGCTTAAGCAGACATTTTTTTTTACATGCCTACAGTGAAATAATATTTTATACTTGAATGTTTGGTTAAGATGAAGGAGGAGCCTACCTCTAAGACAGACACCATAAAACTTCTTCCTTAGGTTTTTTTGTGTTTATTTTCTTGGTGAATAATTGCATGTATATTTTTGGCTTGTATATACCTAAAAACAACATGAATGAAATGTTTTATTTATTTGTTTTTGAATATTTTATTTTATGTGTATGAGTATATTACCTGAATGTAAGTGCAGTTGTGTTATACAATGCCTGTGGAGGTCAGAAGAGGGCGTTAATCACCATGTGGATGCTGGGAACTGAACCAGATCCTCTGCAAGAGCAGCCAGTGCTCTTAACTGCTGAGCCATTTCTCAGAAGAGGCATTAGATCCCCTTGAACTGGAGTTATGGACAGTTGGTAGTGGCCATGTGGGTGCTGAGAATTGAACCTGGGTCCTCTGCAAAAGCAGCTAGTGCTCCACTGAGCCATCTCTCCAGCCCTTAAATGTATTATTTTTATTTTTGATTTGTTCATGAATTTCCCCATGTTACCCTAGCAAACTGCTGAGACTCACTTATAATAAATATACCGTGCTAGGATTTTATAGTGCCACTATAAATAGGTGTATACTTTACAGTTTTTACTTGTTACTATTTTCTTTTTGATTTGTTAAAATACCGCCCCCCCTTTCCAAACCTCCTTCCCTTTCTTGACAGGGTCTTGCTATGTAACCCACACTGACCTTTACTCACGATCCTACTGACTGTCTCACCTTCTCATTGCACACATGCACCATTACACCTGGCTTCACTACAACATTTCTAATACATGAAAATTGTGTTCTCTACTTCCTTGAATTACACAGTTTTAGATGTATCCTATCAGTAGTTCAGCATTTCTTACCTGGAATATTTGCTGACTAGTTTTCTCACTTCCTTTGGGATATTTGTTTGTCATGATGAGCTTTTTCACTGTGTTATTCACATGATACTCAAACCCTTGGGTTCAAGCGATCCTCCAAAGGGTGCTGGAACTGTGGATTGTGTCACCATACCCAGCCATTCTTTGGATTTTTAACCGAGCAGTCCCCATTTCAGTAAGGATTTCCTTGCCACCCTATTTAAAATTGCAATTCCTCCCCACATGCGGAAACTTCCTGTTCTTTCCCCTAAATCTACCCACACTATTTGAATATCATGTTTTTATTTATATCCCTAACTAGAATATAAACTCTTAGTGATGAGAGATTCTTACCTGTTTTATTTACTATTATGTAATAGTCCTTGGTATATAATAGGCAGTACTTGTAAATGAACTTATTAATAGGCATCTCATTACAGATCTGGCTCTTTCAATAAAAACAATTCTACAACAGTTTTTTTATATTGTTTATTTTAGGGCGATGCTCAGAATTTCATTTTGATGATAAACCTGTTAGTCATTCTGCGTACATAGCACAGTTGGAAAAGATAGGCATAATAGTCAAAGCCTGGAGCTGCCTTGTTTTTCAGGTGAGTAGTTATAGGGTTATTTGATGGATAGTTTTTAAAATGTGGTGTACCTCAGTGTTGTTGTGCTTTGTGGTTACTAATAGGGAACTGTGGAGTCCATTTCCTTGAAAAAGTCCAAAGAAAGAACCCAGTTTTTTGAGGAAATCAGCACCTCAGGAGAGCTGATGGGAGAATATGAGGAAAAGAAGAAAAAGCTGCAAAAAGCTGAGGAAGACGTACAATTTCATTTCAGTAAGAAAAAAAATGTCGCCGCAGAGCGCAAGCATGCAAAAATAGAGAAGGAAGAGGTAAGGTATCCTGAAGATGTGCCCAGTTAAGTAGATACTAGATATAAAAACCTTCTGTTAAAATGTCTACTTACTGGATTTGGACTACCAGAAGACTCTGTCAATAATGTAAGACAAAGTCTTAACATTCAGCAAATAAACTGTTTTAGTGTGCTTTTTCTACTGTGTGTGTGTGTGTGTGTGTGTGTGTGTGTGTGTGTGTGTGTATGCATGCATGCATACACATGCATGCACATGGAGATCAGAAGACAACTCAGTTCTTTCCTCTCACCATTTGGGTACTAGGGATCAAATCAAGCGGTCAGGCTTGGTGGGAGCAAGTGCCCTTACCTGATTGAGCCATCTTGCTGGCCCCAGACAAACTCTTTAAAGCATTGCCACATAAGACAGTACAGCAGAGCACTCAGACTTCTGGATCTTGATTCATGTATACTTGGAAAAGTTATTGAGGACCCCAAAAAGATTTTGTTCCTACGGATTGAATTTACCAATAGTTACTATATTTTAAATTAAAACTGAAAATTTTTAATTGACCAAGCTCATAATGTATTGGCCTAGCTAATATATTTAATGAAAAAGCATTTCCAAAAACCACTGAAAAGAACAACATAGTTTTATAATCTCCAGTGTCTGTCTTAATGGAAAATAATTGGATTCTCATAAACACTTCTGATTTTATGTGGCTGTCACCTGGTCACTCAAGTTTCTTCCCCCACAAATTCCTGTATAAGTATTTGTTGTTCACAAGCCTGTTTGAGTGAGCATCCCCATCCTCCTACTTTATTACCCTATTTGGTTTCTTTTGTACATACTGCTGTATGAAATTAACTCATTTATTATTCATTTGCTTTGTTTGTATTCCTCTATTAGAATAACTACAATGCATGTTTTATAAGAGCAGGGATGGTCTATGTTGTTCTCTACCGTGTTCCCAACACATAGAGCAGGATCTGGTGTGTAGTACTCAGTAAACATTTGAAGAAATAAATGAAAGATGGATGTGCCTGAGAAATATTTCTCAGTTTCTTTATATTATTAATGTTTCTATATGTTCTGGGTCTTGTTAGTGAAAAGGGGTGGGCAGTGAGTCAAATGTAATGTTCCCAATATATTGAAGTAGCTCACAGAATTGCAGAACTTAAAATTGTAAGGACAATTAGAATAGCCCCTAATTATTTTTTCATTATTCTTGGCAGACAACTGTTCACATGTTACTTGAGAGCTTTCTTGACTAAGACCCTACCTTGTGAGGCGACCTCCCTTGTTTCTTTACTAGCACAAATATTAAGAAAACTCTTTTTCAGATCTAACTTCAAACTCTAATAGGCTTATTAGAGTTGTCAGTGCAAAGTTCCTTCTTATAGCCATCATTGTACCTGGAATCATTGAGTAGAGAGTGGCCAGGGTAGAATATTCATACAACACTTCCCAGGTCACGATGAGGACCCAGCTGGTAGGGTCCACTTCATTGCTGTCACCACCATGTCACTTAGTCCATGAATACAAACCCCTAGTGTTTGCTGGGTTATTTAAGAAGAATATCCAGAAACCTTCAAAAAATGTTACTTTTGTTCAGGAATACGCTCTCTTAGTCAGATGTGGCATTCACTTACACTTCCACCTCTTGGGATGGAGAGACAGGAAAACCAAGAGTTAAAGGTCATTCTCAGCTATCTAACAAGTCTGAAGCTAGTTGGGCTATGTGAGACCCTTTCGAAAAACAAGAAAGGGCTGGAGAGATGGCTCCGCAGTTAAGAGCACTGACTACTCTTGCAGAGGATCCAGGTTCAATTCCTAGCATTCACATAGTGGCTAATAACCATCTGTAACTCCATTCTAAGGGATCTGACACCCTGTTCTGTCCTCTGTGGGCACTGTATGACATGGGTGCACTTACATGCAGACAATACACTCATACACATAAAATCTAAAAATAAATAAAAATAAAGAAGAAAGCAAAAGCTAAGAATTTTTTTTTTTTTTGTCTTTTTGAGACAGGGTCTCCCTGTAGCTCCATCTGGCCTGGAACGCACTGTGTAGATCACGCTGGCCTCAAACTCACAGAAATCTGCCTGCCTCTGCCTCCCAAGTGCTGGGATTGAAGGCCTGCACCACCATGCTCAGCCAAGAATATTTTTTTCTTGATAGAGATTCATTAATGATCATGTATTGGTACAGTAGTTGCTTTATGAATGGTAGCTTAAGTAAACATACTCTTTTAACTTCTCTTGTACTGTTTTATAGGCAGAACGTTACCAAAGTCTCCTTGAAGAATTGAAAATAAACAAGAGACAACTGATGCTTTTCCAACTATATTATAATGAGGAAAAAATTAATTTTCTGAACACTGAATTACAACATATGGACAGGAATTTGAATGTCATAAAAGAGACTCTTTCTCACCATGAAAAATATACTCAAAGCCAAGAAAAAGGATCATGGAATGTTAAGTAGACAACTACAGCAAACAGGAAAAGAATTGAAGTGAGTTTTATAAAATAGATATTAACAGTTGGGGTTTGATTTTGTGTGTGCGTATGTGTGTACATGTATGTACATACCTTGCCAGGCATGGTGGTGTACATACCTTGCTGGGTGTGGTGGCGCAGCCTTTAATCCCAGTCACTGGGAGGCAGAGGCAGGCAGAGCTCTGTGAGTTCAAGGCCAGCCTGGTCTACATAGTAAGTTCCAGGACAGCTGGGGCTATAGGGAGACCCTGTCTCAAAAAGACCAAAAAAAATGTATGTACATACCACATGGATGCTTGCTAAGGTGCATGTGTGAAGACCAGAAGACAGCCTGCAGGATTCAGTTCTCTCCTACTATGTGGGTCTGAGGAATTGAACTCAGGTTATCAAATTTGTCTACAAGTACCTTTATGTGCTGAGTCATCTCTCTGCTCCAGTAGTGTTTTATGTACATTGATAGATAAAATAAAAACATAGTTGACACTTTGAGAGTTGACATTTTGTGTGGAAGACAGTGCTGGAAACTGAGCTTAGGGCTATGCACCTGGTATGCAAGCATTTTACCACTAAGATATATTCCCAGCCTAGAAATTGGCTTTTTTTAAAAAATTGACTTTCCTTTAAAAATTATTTTTATTTTTATGTGTATGAATGTATTCCCTGCATGTGTATAAATGCACCCATGCATGCAATGCCCATGGAGGCCAGAGGATGGTGTCAGGTCCCCTAGAACTGGAGTTACAGATGATTATGAGCTGCTATGTGGGTGCTGGGAAGTGAACCCCTGTCTTTTATAAGAGCAACCAGTGTTCTTTACCACTGCCATAATTCCAGCCCCAGAAATTGACTTTTAAATTTTTTTAATTTTTATTTTTATTTTATTTTTTTATTTTTTTGGTCTTTTTGAGACAGGGTCTCCCTGTAGCCCCAGTTGTCCTGGAACTCACTATGTAGACCAGGCTGGCCTTGAACTCACAGAGATCTGCCTGCCTCTGCCTCCCAAGTGCTGGGATTAAAGGTATGCACCACCAAGCCCCGCCTTTTAATAGTTTTAAAAGTAGAACATGAAAGATATTTTCCATCAAATTTTACTTGAGATACAATAGAAATCAAATAACAAGATTACAGTAAACCTAGCAGCAGTTTACCCTTAAAACACAATTGCATGTGCAGACCTTTTTTTAAAAACAATATATATTTTATTGAGTTTTTGTGCATTTCATACATCTTAATTATATTTAGACTCCCTCCCCTGTCTGCATCTCCCCATAGCCACTCCCCCTTCAGATTTCATGCATTCTGTCATGTATGTTAAAGCCTATCAAGTCCCCAGATGTCCCTCGGTGAGTTCACCCACTAGAGCCTGGTCAGACTATCTAGTGTAACACCCGTAAAGCAGACCAATTCTCCCTCATCCACCAGTGATTAGCTACCAATAGTTCCTCAGCTAAGATTGGGGCTTCTTACCCATTTCCCCAGTTCTGTCTGGGTTTTGTCTGGTTTGAGTTTGCGTGGATCTTGAGCAGGTTTCACCATTGCAATTTGTGTAGCCTTGGCTGTCCTGGACCTCACTACATAGATCAGCCTAGCCTGGAACACATAGAGATCTGCTTGCATCTGCCTCTCAAATACTGGGATTAAAGTTGTACACCACCATGCCCCAAGGAAATTGACTTTCTTAGTTTGGAATGCTTCTAAACATACAGAAAAATTACAGAGTAGTACGCTGCTCTCATATTCCCATGATGTTTCTTCTACTATTAAGATCTTAGATTAGGGGGCTGGAGAGATGGCTCAGCGGTTAAGAGCACTGGCTGCTCTTGCAGAGGACCCGGATTCAATTCCCAGCACCCACATCGTGGCTTATAACTGTTACTCCCATTCCAGGGGATCCAACGCCATCTTCTGACCTCCGAGGGCATTGCATAACATTAGTGCACCTACCTCCATCAGATTACACTTATACACATAAAATAAAAATAATAAATAAAATATTTTTTAAATTAATTTTCAAACCAGGTGTGGTGGCATAAGCCTTTAATTCCAGCGCGCGGGAGGCAGAGGCAGGCGGATCTCTGTGAGTTCAATGCCAGCCTGGTCTACATAGTGAGTTCCAGGACAACTGGGGCTACAGGGAGACCCTGTCTCAAAAAGACAAAAAAATTAATTTTTAAAAAAGCTTTATGTTTCCTTTTTAGATCTCTTGAAACACTTTTAAATCAAAAGAGGCCTCAGTACATTAAAGCGAAAGAAAACACATCTCACCATCTCAAGAAATTGGATTTGTCTAAGAAATCAATAAAAGACAATGAAAAACAGTGTTCTAAACAGGAGGAAGATATAAGAGCCCTGGAGACAGAGCTGGGTGACCTAAATAGTGCATGGAGAAGTTTTGAAAAGCAGATAGAGGAAGAAGTCTTACTTAAAGGGCGACACATTGAATTGGAAGCTAGTCAGGTGAACACATTTGAAAGAATTTTTATATTGTTTCAATTTATCTTTTTAATTAAAAAAATTTAAAGAATGACTTCTGATAGTTTATCAAGATTACCCCTAGAAGGTAAATTATAGGATTAAAGTCTAAGACACTTGGTGTAATGTTGTAAGAAAAGTTAAGTTATTAAGTTACCATTTTTAAGGTAAAACAGTTTTTCCTTGGATAGTATAAAAACTTAAAATGTCAGATATAAATGACTTAAATTTTTAAAAATTTTGAATTTTGTATATATATATGTTTATACATATATATGTGTTTATACATATATATGAATGTTTGCCTGCGTGTATGTAAGAGGCAAGTGGGTGTCAGATCCCCTGGAACTGAAATTATGGATGGTTTTTAGCTGTCATGTGGATGTTGGGAACTTAACCTGGGTCCTCTACAAGAGCAGTCAGCACTCTTAACTGCTGAGCCATTCCTTCAGCTCCCAGATATATGTAGTTTAATATAGTATACAAGATTTAATTATAAATTAGTAATAAATACTTAAATGTGTAGCTGAGAATTTTCATTCTTTCAACGAAAGTTTCATTTATCTTTTTCATTAATTTTGTGGTAATTGTATATCACAATATACATAAACCAGAATAATCATGACTAGAAAAATAGAAAAAAGTATTTTCTGCAGATTCTTGTTTCTCAAGATTTTCTGTGAGAGACCTTATTATAGTTTGATACTTTGTTGTTCTATCCAAAGAGTTTCAAATAAAGACATTTTTCATACGATGTTCACATATTTTCCCTGGAGAAGATGGCTAATTTTCTGGTTTGAATAAATCCAGATTTTGATAAGATTATCTGCTAGTATAGGATGTCATACAAATTCACTTAGGTGAGTAATATGTCAATGCTGTTTACATAGCTGGATCATTATAAAGAGCTGAAGGAGCAAGTAAGAAGGAAAGTAGCTATAATGACTCAACAGTTGGAAAAACTACGGTGGGAACAGAAGGCAGAAAAAGAAAGATTGACATTTGAGGAGAGGAGACATGGAGAAGTTCAGGTACCATGGATTGTACAGTCATAATTATTCTCAGTGAAATTTTATTCCCCATTATATTAACTTTTCAATATATAAGTGGATTTATATCAAACATAAGCAATTAAAATTTCTGAGGGGCTAGAGCTTAGTGGTAGAGCGCTGATGTCCTGATTCAGTTTCCCCAGCACAGCAAAATAATCCTGGGTTCTCTGTTTTTAGTATTCTTCTTAGGGGCAACTTTATGGATAAAATAAGGATAGGCAGTACTTTGATTCATGTACTCAGTAAATGTTTTCTGGGTATCTGTGTGGTGATAATATGGTCAGAAAACAGTCTGTGCTGAGCATGTATTTTAGTTTATAGACGTAGGGAGTGATAAAGAGGGAGTATCCTAAAAGAGGTGAGTGCATCGTCATTTGAGAACATAAGCACAGACACAGCTCTCTGCATCTCTGAGTTCTGCAGCCATGGATTCAACTGAGGATTGAAAATAGGGGAAAATATTTTTACCAAACATTATTTACACTTTTTGTCACTCTCTAAACAATACACTGCAACACCAATTTATATATGGCATTTACCTTGTACTAGGCATTATAAGTAATCTAGAGAGGATTCAAAGCATATAGGAAGATATGTTAGATTATATGTGAACACTGGGCTAGGCTATTTTTATAAGGATTTTAGTATCTGCAAATGAAAATAACCACCATGGGTTCAGGAACCATTTGGAGAATGACCGTAGCCCAGTAAGAATAGTCAGTCTATGCTGGGAATAACAGTCAAGATGCATTATAACATTCTTCCTCAGTTTAAGACAGACTTGGCTTCCAGCTCATCTTGCTTTTAATGTATATAGTCTCAGCAAATAACTAAATTGTTTTACTCTTCTGAGCTTTAACTTCTGCAACTGTACAATGAGGACAGATGTGGTGACCCCACAGTGAAGGGCAGAACGAAAGGATGAAATTAGTGATGATATACATGCATGTTGGCTTTTCTTAGTGTTTCATGGCTTATAAAGACTGAAAATTGGGCTATAAAATTATTGTTGTGGTACATTCAACAATAATTCATTATATATTATGAAGTTTCTCTGGGCCATCCTGATATATTGAAGTATCTGTCTGCTAAGTATACTGTAAACCCAATCTATTTAATCCTCATTAAGGACCCTATAGGGTAGATGTCATTATTTTCAAGCCTTGTTTTTCTTATGTGTTTGAGTGCGTCTACACTGTCAGGAATCAGTTCTCTCCTTCCTCCATGAGCCAGTGATTGAACTCAGGTCATCAGGTTTGGCTGAAAGTACCTTTACCTATTGAGCCAGCTCACAGGTCCTAAATATCTTCATACAGTTATATTTGATACTTTGCAAAATTTTAACAGCTTACAATAGAGTAAATTTTAGACATGTAATACTGGTTTAGAATGTTGTAATTTATTTCAGATTTCATTTCCTATGTAGGGAAATCTAAAA